TGAGCCAGCAGCGTGCTCTTGTGGCCAAGAAAGACAGTGGTAACCTGGGGTGCATTAAAAAGAGCATGGCCAGCAGGTTGAGGGAGGTGGTTCTCCCCCTCTGTTCTGCTCCAGTGAGGCCACATCTGGAGTACTGTGTCCATTTCTAGGCTCTCCAGTTCAAAAAAGGCAAAGATATCCTAGTGAGAGTCCAGCAGAGAGCAACAGAGATGATGAGGGGCCTGGAGCATCTCCTATACAAGGAAAGGCTGGAACAGGCTGCCCAGATTGTCAAGTCTCCTTCTTTGGAAATTTCAAGACCTGACTGGATGCCTACCTGTATGACCTGCTTTAGGGAACCTACTTTGGTGTGTGAGTTGGGCTAGGTGATCTCTAGAAGTCCCTTCCATCCCCTAAATTATGATTCTGTGATGAAGCTGGGGAGGTAGTAGGCCAGTTGCAGGAGCTGCGCTAGGGACATGGGGAACAGCACAGCAAGAGGGCAATTGGGCAATAAGCCATGCTGAAGGCAGGAGTTCCAAGAGCTTGGGGACACACACACAGACAGCACTGAGCCTAATGCTCTGCATCAGAACTGTATAGCACACTCAGTTTAGCAACAAGACACTTGCAGTTGGATTTGCCATTGTAAGTAATCACAGTGCACATGGAGGAATAACTCTGTCGAAAACATTCACATGCTACCTACTGCTTCTGTGAGCACAGGTTAGAGCACGGGTGTCCAACCTTTTGGTTTGCCTGGGCTCCATTGAGTGAAGAGAAATTGTCTGGGGACATATATAAAATATATAATATAGTTAACATGTATAAGTAACAAAGCATTTATAAAAAGAGCAACAAAAACAAACTAGTGGGATATTTGATCTTGCAACCTGTGCGAAACTAACACATCAGTCTGCTTCAGTGGCAGTGGCTGCAGTTCTTCATGAGCTGTCAAGGTGTTTGACAGATTTTTGATGAAATATTTCTCTTCCTGTGCTTCATCCTTGAAACCAGTTTTTTACTGCCAAAAGTGATGACGTGAATGAGGTGTGATTGTGAAGTGAGGGGTTTTTCTCTCTGCTAGGAGGTTTATACAGGTCTGGTAAAGAGACATGATCAGATTTCTGAGCTGAATGTCTGATTGCAACTCTGTATGTTCCATTTGAAAATTGGCATACATTGTCATTTATATTGACTGAAAATGGAGTTGCAAATATACAAAAAAAAAAAAAAAAGAGAATCTTTTCAGCGCTTTTGAAACATATTCTCAAATCTACGTGTCACAACAGAAAGTACATCTGTGTGTTTTTCACTGTTCACAGGGATGTGTTCAGCCAACGTACCAAAATGCGTAATGTTATTTGTCACCAATTGAGTCAGGACTACACTGTGCCACATGTCCCAGTTTCAGCTCACAGTGCTGCTCACACAGTGCTGTGTTGTGAGTGATGGGTGTGTGCCCAGGGCTGGGATGAGCCATTCAGTGGGGCAGAGCCACTGCCATGATGGGGTGGGGCAGGGAGCGGCTGCAGGGCAGGATGGGATGGAATGCAGATGGGACACGGCTGGGTTAAAAACTCAATTATGTGTATCCTAAAGAAAAGGTAGCATGCTCACTTCTTCACAGAGAAGCTGAAAACACACAGAGCAGCTGAAACATTACCATGAAAATAGTATTTTAGCTATTATAAATGTTAACTGCTTGCTCATGTGCTGACCCATCAGCCAAAGCTATTTAGAATGAATTAAGTGACATTGCTTCTACTTCTTTTCCACACATTAGTGTTTTCTACTTGATAGAGACGAAAAGTAAAGTCTCAACAGACACCATCTTTTGTTATATGCAATATGAGGACTGTTTCAAAAGTAATACCTCCTATGTTATTATGTTAGCCCACAGTGTCAGGCAGATGTTGGTGGGATGGCAGTAGAGGCAGAACCTTCCCACCCATACTCCATTACACACTGTTGTTGTGTGATAGATGGCAGCAGAGGGGCAGTCTGACAAAATGGTGTCGGACATAGGAGCGCAGATGAAGCAAAGATGTGTCACTGAATTCCTATATGTGGAAAAAATGGCACCCATTGACATCCATCAATACTTGTTGAATGTTTCTGGAGACCAAACAGTGGATATAAGCACAGTGAGATATGGGGGGAGTGCATGTATGTTCCACCAGTGATAGCAACAGTGGTGTTAAAGACAAGCCACATTCTGGATGGCCATGCACAGCTGTCACACCATGAAATGAAGAGCATCTTGATCAGCTCATCCATGTGAATCAGCTAATGGTGGCGACTGTTGAAAAATACTGCTGTACAACTGAGAGCTTGCTCTATACAACAGTGTTATTGTGCTCTATGTGCCTATAGTAGTTTCCATAGAAACAAATAGGAGGCATCACTTTCAGAGTAACATATGTATAAACTACCAGCCAAGACTTGAAAAGTTATCTGGCTACATAAACAAACTAAAAATACAGGTACCTTGTATTGATTTTTTCCTCTTCTCTATGTACTGCCTACCGATTTTTATAACAGGCTCATTACTTGCTTGCCTCTTTCATGAGCCTTGCAGTGCTTCAAAGCCTCTTACAGTTCAAAGTGAGGCCCCAGGCAAAACCATCTAATTAGCATCAAATGTTGGGCATAAGCCCCTGTCTGTAACTAAGCTGATGGTGGGTGTGAGGGGATTGGAAGATGACATCACCACCAAAACCTGAGCTCTTGTCAGGGGAAATACATACCATTGTGCTCTTTGTGATATTTTGCAATTCACCACCCACTTTCCCCATAAATCACTTATTATTGAGGCTAGTCTTGATGATGGCCTAACAGTGAATCAGATGTGTTTTTCTAATCTCTGTCCTGTTAAGTCCTTGTGCCCAACAAGGCCGCATACTCATAACTGAACATCTGCTGCATACTCTGTGGAAGGGACCTTGTAAGAGGCAATTTGCATTTCAGTTATCTGAACATCAATGACTCTGTAAGGCCTGTTCCACCAGCAACATCTAGTCTTCGTTAGCTTCCAAAACATACACCTCCAGCAGCTGTCACTGCACTTTGCTACACCTTACACCCCTCCTGGTTTGTCACAACAGAGGGCTGTAACAAATATTTTCAGATGAGTACTGAAAGATAACTAATGCAAAATAACTAATCTCTTCTTGCTTCTTTTTTTCCTAATTATGTATAGTATGATGAAGTTATGCTGAGCCCTTCTCCTTATTACTTTTCTCTCACCAATAATATTCAGTGCATCAAGGTTTATTGAACTGATCCTTAACTCCAGGAAGCGTCAGCGAGGTGTTTGCTTCACCCCAGGGTGAACAAAACACACATTTGTGCTCAAATATGATGGGACTTCCTATGCATTGGACAGTCTTGAGCAGAATCTGCAAAGAACACTACCCAAAACTGGGACCAAGCAAGCTGCAATGAAGACAAGACAAGTGAATGAACTTCACGCCAGAGAGATCAGCACAAGATATCTGTGGAGTGGATCTTGAAAATGTGTGCTGCTGCAGCCCATATTTCTGCCTTCAACTTCAAGCCGAAGGAGCTAGTGATCAAAGAAAAGACTTCAGGCCACAGAAGTTCTCAGTATCTCCTCTTATTCTTCAGGTCTCACAGCCTCTTCACACTTCTTCAGCAATAACGTCCTGAGCTCCTTTTCCATTGCATTTCAGACATCAAAAAATTAAGCAGCATGGAATTGGAGAACTTTAGCTGATGTAACAAAAATTGATAGGCACAGACATCAGAAAGATTGATGCTTGAATGCAGTTAAGCACATTTGCAATTGTCTTTCTTTTGGTAAGTCTTAGGAGCAAGAGTCCCCACGTCTGGAGGTACTTAAGAGACGCGTAGATGCGGCACTAGAGACACAGTTTAGTGATGAGATTCAGTAGGTCAGGCTGGTGGTTGGACTTAATCCTGGAAGTCTTTTCTAACCCAGACAATCCTATGATCCTCCATTTAGAGAACTCTGTACAGAAGGACTGCCACATATTTTACTTTAAACACAATAGACAATTAACAACATGAAAAGAGGGCCGGTGATTGACCAAAGGAGTGCAAGTAAGGAATCTCAATTTCAGTGACAATTGCTAGTAAGCCGAGTATAAATTCAGTATCCTACCATATACTGTCTTTAGCACAGTGGACTATTAGATGCCTCCGTGTCACCTAGTCATGAATGCTTACCTTGTCATCGTTATTTTGCAACTCTGAGCAGTCTGTCTCCAAAAGAGCCCTCCAACTGTAAGACAATGACTAGTAGCTGTAAGAGTCATGATAAAGTACCAATTAACATTTTCAATAAACATACAAATCATTTATTTAAAATTCAAAACTCATAGGTACAAACAAAATATATAAGAAACAAAGTCAGAAAATGTAAACACTTATAGAAAACATATGAACTGTACCAATGTAACGACCCACCATTCTTAACAGAAATTAGTTAGAAGCAGGAAGACAAATCAATGTCCAATTGTTATTTTTCCAGATTCTAGTTTAGAGGTAGAGTACTATTGTGAAAGACTTCACAAAATTTAGTTCAATAAAGTTATGCTACAAGTGAATTTGGCCCATATATTTATAAATGCAATGAAGTCATAAAATAAGTTTCTTATTGAGAGCTCTTAATCTATACAATAAAATTTGGTTTGGCACTTTCCAAGAAATAAAGCACCTTTCCTGATAAATGCTGTTTTATGATTTTGCAAATTGAGGATCCTGCACTTCTTCCATTATTGAATGCAAAGAAAGCATTTAAAAAACAGGCTAAAAATGTCCTGATTTTTTGGCAGGTTTACAGAAAGCAGGATTTTTCTTTTTTCCCTCCAGTATTTTGTCCTAGAAAGCCAAGCAGTGGGAAAAAAAATCCTGTAACTGCAAAAGGAGATTCTGAGAACTCACAAACACTTTACATGTATTTATTTGGGTGGCACAGTCTTCGAGGTTAAAAAAAAAAAATAACAAGGAAATAAGATTCTTTTACACTGGCAGAACAATTTAACATTTTATTATCATTCAGCGAGTCTCTACTAACTGCTACAATTCTACCTTCTCAGGAAAAAGCGTGTGTGAAAGACACACTATAACTTCAAATCCAGTAAAAAGTTCCCAAGTAGTCTTAAAGGAATGTGCCTTCAATTTTTCTTCAAATGACCTGCTGCAAGTAGAAATTAAGCTTGGAATTCTTCAGACAATATTTACAAATCCATAAAAAAACAGGAATAAATTCCAAACTCAGTAACATACAACATTATTCAGGAAAACCAGATATATACAGACAGCCTGGCTGCTAAGTGCATAATTTAAATTGGTGCATGCAAGTAGAGTCTGTGGTGGCTTAAGGAACTTAACTATAATCTGCTAAACTTCCACCGTTTAGTGTAGCAAGAACTATCTCTAGTATTAGCTGAAATATATTTGTGTTCTAGAAGCAACAAAATCAGGTTTGGAGTTTTAATGCCTTCTTGCTTTGTGGTATAAGAACACTTCTGAAGATGTAGATAATGGTAAATCCCAACTTAAACAGCCAGTTCACAAGCACTCAACTGAAGTATGACCCCATTTCTTTTAAGTAAAAGAAAAGTCAGGTCGATGTTCAGAACCTTAAAGGCACCCCACCTTTGCAGCACATGCTGATGATGTTTATAAAATAGCACCACACAGTAACAGTCACCACAATAAAATGTTTGAGTCGCTGCATTCATTCAGCAGCTAAATATTCCATTAGAGTTTTAGGGATGGAGGACAGAGTTGTGACAATTAAGTACAGTTCATGGAAGAATGCAGAAAGACAAGCTCACCTGCTTTCATTAATGATGCACTGCCTTGTGTTTTGCTTTGTAAAGTTACCTAACACAGAGGAATCAATACAATCCAAATACCTTAAAAAAAACAAACTTGAAATATAAAGCATGAACATGCTTGCTTCGATAATATTCTACTTTTTAAACTATCATCTGAACAGCATCAAACATTATATACATTAGAAAAACAGCATTTCTGATTACATGGAAGATTGCAATATCTGTAAAATAAACATACTTGGTAGAAAAGTGGAATAGCAATGAGCTGATGTTACTATCAATCAAACATTAAGCCTGAAAATACACTGAAATGCACTGCCATCTTTGTCCTTGTGCCCCTCTTGAGAAGAGCAAGTAAAGGTGTCACCTCTGCCAGACTAACTGAAAGGTTTGCATGAGCCAATTACCTCACTGGGGGCAAACTAGTTGCATTGGTTCATCATTCTAAATAGTTAGTCTAAGCTCCATTTAGCCAATCTTGACAAACCAAATGAACAAAGTGCTTAAACCACACTAACAGCAGAGCAGACACTGCCTGACAGATAACCAGTACTAAACCTCTTTCATCAGCACTGGAGTGTCAGTCCATGCCAAAAAGCCCCCTTTTCTCCTAGAAAGTACATTCTTCTGTTGAATACAAAAGCCTCACAAACACAAACTACCAAAAGACATACAGTATTAATACAGGAAAGTTTCAGATGTGGATTTTCATATATTCGGCCTTTTGATTCTTTTATGAAATCTCCATCATCTCCAAAGGGAGCTGTACATCCCTATCCGTGGAAAAAACTAGACTTGGATGAAGAAAGCTTAACTAGACAAATAAGATTAAGTGTTAAACTACATATGAAATGTGTACATTTCCATATACTGATTTTTTGAGAGCTCAAAATGGATTTAAAGAAGCCATTCTGAAGTAGGAATTTGTTTGACTCCTCATTTTGCTACTGTATCCCTTATTATGCCTTTCCCTGTATATGTTTCAATGGCCAGATTGAAAGTGTTCTGTGCATGTAAAAACTAATTCCTTTTAGCTCTGTAAATATTAATCCAAAGTTTCATATGTATTTGATTTCTGTACCTTCCAATCTTACGCATACACAAGATGCTTTTCAGAACATCAGAAAAAGTCAATGGTACTTCAAAGCTCTCCACAAAAAATAAGATATCTGTGATTATAAGACGGTACACGTTTTGCTATATCTTCATAAAATCAATTTTGGATGTAAAGGTTACAAGTTAAAAAACAAAACAAAACCAACAGCTCACCTAAGTTAAAATAAGCCTTCTTGCATTTGTGTTTGTAAGCTCTAATAATAAGAGAAATGTTAAGAAATTCTAAGTATTCCGCGAAATATTTCTTTTGTCAACTTTGCATCCTTTGACACATTTCCAAAATTAAGTGTCTCTTCTCAAATGTTGCCAAAAAAGTGAATGCTAGGACAAAACAGAAATATTTATAGCATTTTGGTGTCTTCAGTGATGCATTTTTTAATCCAGACAGCGGTCTAGTTTTTTGCAGATCTGGCACATGCTAATCAAGCACTCTGCTGCAAAAGAGAGCTTATGGTTTCTTATACCTAGCTGCTGCCTTCAGATGCTACAGTCCAATAACTGATTCAAAGACAAATAATTTCTCTTAAAAACTCTCTTTAAAGGCTTACAAGATCTTGGTTAACAGACTGATGGTCCAGGAGAACTGCAGAGATCTCCAAGGATGAGCAACTCAAATACACATTGAGAAACTTCAAAGGACAGGGGAATGGCCAGGTGACTACACATTACTTTGTACAGCCACTTAGATACTGTGATACCTCAATGCACCTCTACCACTTCCAACACGCAAGCGTGTAAATTCTAAGATTACTGATGAATCTGGTTACACCACAAATATGCTGTAAACTAGACTGAGTTAGGAAAATAGCACATTGAGAATATACCACCTCATTTTTTTTTTTAATGCTCTCATGTATGCAAGGCACAGTCAGTTGTCAGCCAGGCTACAATGGCAGGTCTCTTGAGCATTCAGTGCCTTCGAATTCCAGAAAGAAAAACCAAATAGATAAACAAAAAGATGATGGCTACTCTATATATAGAGGTAAGCTTTATTCTTCCAAGGTGAACTCCACCATTGAGCAGAGGGTTGGTACAACTCCAGTACACCACTTATGTTCTAAAGAAAGGCTATTCTGAGGCCTCAGGTGGATGCTGACCTCATGCCAAACACCTGAACTGTGATAAAAACTTCAGCTCAGAACCTAAAATAGACAAACAACAGAAGCTTTTACAACAACTATATTATTTTATACGGTAACATGGTCAGAAGAGTTACTTTAGGACAGCACTAGTTGATTTTGGTGACACAGTAGCACCAGAAGTTCATCTGTGTGTTCAGAGAGATGCAATAAGCACACGTGTTTATATCTTTGAGACTGGCAGTATTGTTCTTGGAGAAATTAGTGTAAGCAAACTGCTGAAACACTGGCTTTTCACTACATGTTGCAAAATGCAATTATAGCAAACCTAACTTAACCCTAAAAGTCATGTCAATTTTTCCTTTACTAACATCCATCTCAAATTGCTTGGCAAAACAATTTTCCCTTCCCACTTCTGTCATTTATTAAGTTACCTGATCTTTTTTCACTAAAAAAAAATTGAAGAAAAAATATTCAATGGCTCAGACAAAACAGAAATGCAATTCCTTGCCTGGTGTTTAAGTGGAAAGCACAGTTTAGGAAACTAAGCATATTTTCCAATAGGCAATTAATACAGTTTTTTTTTTTCTTTCTATCTACACGTAATTGGAATGTCAAATACCAAAAAGCAGAAAAAGGAAAAATGACCCCCCAAAAAACAACGAAGAGAGATATCAATAGTTTTAAGCCACAACATTTACTTTCAATATTCAAACCTGTTTATAGGAATTGTGATCCAAACACACTCATGTCTAGAAAGTCATGAATCCCAAAATGACATCAGCAACCTCGTGGAGGCAAAATACGTACCATTAAGTCTGCTGCTGAAACCCAGCAGTGTAGTCTTGGAAACTAAGTTCCCAGATTACGTGCCCTTTTGAAACTTATTTAGTAAAGGCTGCTACAGGTTCCACTTTGAGTTTTTTCTTACCTGAGAAAAAACAGGGAAATTCAACCCCAGGGAAAACAAAGACCAAAGTTTGTTTGAAGTTCCCTAAGGTCTGACTCCTAAGTCTTTATTTCAGAATTTATGTAACTGACCAAATTCCAAGCCAGCAGCTTCAAGTAAAAGACAAAAAGATGTCACTGGCTTGGACACAGGATTCATGGAACACATTTTTGAGACACTAGCTAACATTTGCTGTAGTCAAAAACTTGAAAGGCAACTGCTTTCATCTTTTTTCATCAGATTTTTCTCTTTGAAGAATAAGGATTCAATTCTGTTCTCTAGAAGAAAAAAAAAAAAATCACAAGACTAACTAACACTTTCACTGAGGTGAATTTACAGCCAACATCACCCTGCGCCCCTTAAGAACTAATTTCAAGGAAGCCAGTTACTAGGATATCAGCTAAGTGTTAGAAAATAAAGTGCATAATGAAAGCCACTGAAAACTTTGGTGATTTCAAGCTAGCAGTATACGTCAGTCCTCAGCAACATGAGCAGAATGCTAATTAAAACAAATTGTTAATGTGAGTACAAAACATAAATAAATAAAATCCGAGCACATATGAAAATAAGTTTTATATAAATGGGGAAAAAAATAAACAAACAAAACTGAAATGGAATCCCTAGTCCTTAGTGAAATAGAGCCTACTATACAGCTATTCCAACATGCAGCATCTGAAATGAAGAATCACAGTCTGTTTGCTTCCCTTCACCTATTCCTGAATTTAGTTTGCAGCTGTCAGGTGTCTGACTCATTTCACCTCGTGCCGGGGAAGATGTGCCTTGAGGGATACCTACAGAGAGAATGTCAGATGAAGAATCTTGGCTCTCAGCTGAAATATCAATTTGAGGCCAGCTACCCTCTTCTCTTCCATCATTGCAGTTTGTCCCTTCATCCGCCTCTTCTAGCTGCTCAACAGATTCCAAATACTGCTGTAGAAGCCTGTTGTCCTGCTCATTATTAGAGCTCTCTCTGCTTTGTTCACATCCCTCATGGTCATCTTCTACATCTGAAGAACGTTCTAAAACAGGATTGCCACGCTGTCTAACAGTTTCCACTGAAAGAGAGCCCTCAGTTCCTTCTGTTAAACTCTTTTCATAGCCACACGAATCACCAGTATGAGTCTGGTCAGCCATGGCAGAATGAAAACCAGAATCTGGGAACTGTAACAAAGACTTCTCCTGAAGAACATCACTAGCTGGAGCTAACCAAGCAGAACTAACATCTGATGGGGTTTCTTGCTCACGTGTAGATGTTTGAGCAGATGGTTCTGGCAGACAAGAAGTACCAGCTGAAGGGGTCCCAAGTTGACAAGAGACACCTAAGTGTTGTGTCACTGTAAGCTGCCACTGTTGAAGGGATTTAACCTGTAAAGTATAAAGAGCAATTAGATTTCTAAGCTACTGTAATTGGCAACAAAACTGTAATATAACATTTCACTATACTTTTGGGGAAAATATTTTTTTCCCGATGTTAAATAATAGCCTTTAAACTAGATACCCAACATCCACAGAGCTCACAACCTTGATGTTTCAAGAAAAAAGAATATCTTACCCCAAAGAAAAAAGAAAAGGGAATCTTCTCTTTAAGGCAAAAAGATAAGAAACCTTTTAAAAATAGCCCATTCTTAAAAAAACAAGCCTTAGCTTGGGAAGAAATAACAGCTTATTAAAAGATACATAGTCATATGTGTTTTTTCTAATCTACAAATTATTTGCTTAGAAGCAACACTGCTCGACAGTGTTTCATTTGCCCTAAGCATCTAGCAGTCGCATCTTGTGACCGCCTACTATGCTTGCTTAGTTCTCCTTGCATTTTGTCCTTCTTCTCATATCAAGTTGTATTTTATCATTTAGTTACACAGTTTACTGTGTTAGCATTTCTGAATATTACTTTCTCCCAGTATAAAAGAACAGCCAAACCCATTGCAGTTTGATTCTAATAAGCCACCAAGTTTGTAACTGGAAGAATGAACCATATTCACCATCTCTTCATGCTCTATTGTATGAAATATCTTCTCAATTCATAAGCAAAAAATAAGAGTACTAAAGCTATTTACCTGGTTCCAAAGAAATCTGACAGCTTCCTCCTGTACAAGCCTCTGAATCTTATCTTCCTCTCTTTCTTTTCTTAGTCTGCAAGAACATCCAAAATTATGCAAATTAAATAATATTCTGGTAACAAAATGAACAAGAATACATAAAAATGCCTGCTTACACAAAAGAACTCTTGAAAACACCACAGAGCCCAACACTGAGACACTATTGCCATCTGGCTTGTTATCAATATCTAGTTGCTTGCTTTTAAGCATACGTTTGTTTCTCAAGGTTACAATTAGATTTTGCTTTTCTTTTGCTATAAAGCATGTATGGCTTTGCTAATATTTCAGGGGTCTTTTTGCATACTGAACTTGACCTCTTCATTTTAATTAGATGTGTCTCTTTCTCCTGAATTAGGAAGAAAATAAAGGAAAAAAATAAAAAAACAGTGTTTCTGCGCTTCAAATTATGCCTTCCCCACCTGATACCACCAAGATAAATGTGCAGATACAATGTGAAAGCATTAGGATTTTCCACAGGTTCACCAACAGCTCAGCTTGATTCACACAACTTCTGTTATTATGATAGTAAATGAAAGGGATCTGTCAAACTGTTCCCAGACTGATCCTGAATGATATTAATGAATTCACAATTTCTGTCTTAGAACTTAAGAAACTCTGATAATAATCCCCTTAAAACATGGATTCATATGATCAAAAAATAGAATTGTATTTGAAAATTGTATGATGAAAGACACGGTGAGAACTGTTCCTCTGACTGACTGTTAACAGAGGAATGACTCAATTCCGACACTTAGAGACTTTGTAACTGCTAAGAGATTAAGTCAGAAACCTCATAATTTACAATTGCCATTTTGATTATGCAGCAAAACACGCATGTCCAAGTAATAAAGGAATTGAAAAAGTTAATTCCAATCCAATCCACTCATAGAAGATATGAGAGGATGAGAAGTACATGCATGCATAACGATTATATCTTACAGGCATTCTTCCTCTAGTGTTATCACTGTTTCGTATCATTAATGCTAGGTCCTACTGTGCACAACTATATGATGACCCATTAATAACTTTTCTGAACTATCTTGGAGTAAGCTATATTCAGACCTGGAAAATGCATAGTACAACCTCAACTTACTTTTGTATTTCATCAGTTAAACAAATTATGTGCTCCTGCATCCTGCTCAGTCGAATTTCATATCGCACTTCCTTGACTCGGGGGTGGTAGTTCCTTGCATAAAACCCCCTCCAGCAGGCTTGAAGCTTGGTTGCTGCTTTAGTCATCCTTTGGAGTTCATCTGCACCTTGATCAACAGCAGCTAAAGAATCTGAATTTTCTCCTGTCACCTGCTCAGTACAGAGTGTTGTAACTTTCAATTCAGTGCCTACTGAGTTGCCAGGCTGACTGTGCAGAACTTGGTCTTCAGAGGATGCTGAAGAATTGCTAGCATCAGCCTGGTTAGCCTTTACCAGATCAAGAGATGATAGCTGCACTCTGTCTTTGATTTGCTCTTGAGCTTCCACACTTTCTGTCACTTTGTTGGAGTCCTCTTTTGTAAGCCAAGAAGTTTCTTCTTGCTTGTTAACTGTTTCTCCTCTATTAGCATCTTTTGCAAATTCAATTACAGTACTATCATTATCTTCTAGGTCCAAACTGATTCCACATAACTTCGGGTCTGAAGTAGGAGACACTGGAGACAATCCTGAAGCAACTGGCATGAAAGTAGACTCTGAAGATAACAGGCTGCTATTTAGTTTGTCTTCATCAGTCTGTATGTCTTCAAGGTACAGCTCCTTGTGACAATTTCTTTCATGAAGAAAAGTGTTCTTTACTGCATAGGAATGATCATCATTCACACTTGGTCCAACCCAGGAATTCTTCTGGATGACTCGTTCTAGATAGGCAGAAAGACATTTTCAGAAGTCTCACAGTGTTTCAATAAAATATTTTAATTCACAGAAATTCATACTTCATTTGTGTTTAAAAAAAAAAAATCTGCATTTATTTTACTCCCATCAGTAAGATCACAGGTGCAAATTTGCATCTTACCATTATCAAGAACTATCTGTGGTAGATGGGATGGACTGCTGTGTTCAGAAGTAACAGGCAAAGTTCTGTTGGAAGCAGAAGATGTAGCTGGTCCTTCATTTTGGTTTTGATACATCAGCTGCCTCTGGTGGAGCCTAAGCACAAAGTTTCAACAGATTTTTTTTTAATATATATTTTTTTTGGTACACAAGTCATCTGAAATAAACTATCAGCTACTCTGAAGTAAACAAGAAATCAAACCGTTCTAAAACAAGATGCTAGCTACAGCTAGTAGGTGCTAACCTACACCTAATAAAAGGACTACTCACAAAATAAAGGACTGCACAGGCTGCTCCTGTTCCCCTTCCTTTTGCCTCTTTCTTTTCATTACATATACGTGTAACCAGAAAAATAAAAGAAAAAGAAAAAATACAGCATGCAATTCTGAATACAGACTGAAAACCATGGAGTATCTCTATACACAAGGTATACATATATTCTTAGTGCAAACTGCAGGACATGCTATACTTGTATGTGTAAAGAGTTTGAGGAATGGACTTTTAGGCTTGAAAATGACTTAATCCAAACGCATGACCCTGCACCCTAACACAAAATCAGGTAACAGCATTGCCACAGATTTATTCTTTGTAATCTGAGGAAAGAGAAAAGTTATTTCAACCTAGTGAAATTAAGAGATCATAAGGTAGATATTAGAAAATCACTCTGCCTTAAAGATCATGTGTGTATAAGTTTTATCTTTGCGATAGAAATTTGAGGAGTTTATTTTCATTACAGTCCTTGTACAAATCACCTTCAGTGTTCTACAGAGCACAGACTGCCTCTAGAGTGCCCAGCAAACACTCCTGCTGCTCTCTTGCTCCTCATTCCCTTCATCCTGTACCTCCATTACTCTTCCCATCTTTTGCTCTTGCTTTAAAACACTTGAATGGAAATATCTAATACATAATGAGACAATTACATTTTGTAACAACAGAGAAGCAAGAAGTTCTCACCTTTGCTTACTCAGTATTTTTTCCAGTTTGGCATCTTCTTCAGTCTGGAGACCGTATGTAGATATAAGAGGACAAACAGTAGCCAAGTATTGGACTAACTGAACATGCTGCCCAGGTCGATATGATCTTCCTTTACCTTGACTGTACAGCCATTCTGCCTTCAAACTGTTGGGAAGACAGCTACTGTTAACATATGGCATAAACCTCATAACTTTGCTTTGAGTACTGTTCCTCTAAGAGCTACCAAAACACTGAATGTGAACAGTGTCCAGACACCTCCACTATCATACATATAGCAGTGATATACACAGTGATACAGTAAATACTGATATTTGTAAAACAAACAAATGAATTTAAATGTAAATGAGACTCCTTACAAAAGGGCGTGCTTGAGCTTCCTCCAAGATAATAGCTTTAATATTTACCTATTATCTCATTCCACAAAGTCAAAGAGGCTGTGAACCTGAGAGAGATTAAAGACCACTGATCATTTGCTACCACAGTTTGGCTCTGTACAAGTGCTACTGTGATTTGAGTAAAAAAAGAAAACCTTAATTCCTATTTAAATGATTTTATATAATAATACCACTATAACAGGGGAAAACTCTTGCAAAAACAATGTATATTGGCCAGTATCTCAAGTGGGCATTAGCTAGACAAACAATTTCAGATCATTACCAGTTTACCTATTTTTTATCATATAAAAATGAAATTTCAGCTTACACAAACTTCACTTGATAACTTTAGAAGTATCACATTACCTTTCTTTCTGAGAAACCATGTATCCATCAAGAACTTTAAGGTTGAGACACCAGCTGACTATATATGGCCTGTAGTCAAAGCCAGGGATTGAAGGTGTGGCCATCACACAAGGATTGTTCATTATTGACAGCTGTTCCAGTTGAGGAAGAGAAGCCAGGAAAGAAACCTTGAGAAAATAAGATACATTTGTTAACTGAAGAGAACCGTTAGCTGCTTACAGAACATAACAATTTGCCTAATTACAGCAATACATCTCAGAAAACAGCAACATTACAATTACATTGAAAATCACACTTGCTTGTTAAACCTGAATATCTTATAAATGGTCTTTTATCAACTACCATCGTGTGCCTGTCAATTTTTCTGTAAGTAGTATAGTTCTTGGAAAATATTCGTTTCTCTTAAAATTCAGGAGTTAGCTTGCACACATAGGAAAGCATATCTGCTGCAGTAAACTGGAGTACTATGGAGATGTTGACAAAACAGTGGCAATCTGAAAAGCTGAGAAAAGCTGAGAAACATCATCTAACACTGTACAAGAGTGAAACGCATTACCAAATGAGGCTTTTCTTCCAATACTGATGTCCAACTAACATGTTTTTTCCTCATATTAGAATAGATAAAGGAGGAAGTCAAACACACACACAAATCCAATAAAGAAAAAAAAAAATCTGACTACTCATTTATGTTACACAGTGTTTGAATGGGTGATTAAAGACGATGTTCTGAACAGAACAGCTGAGCTGCAGCAGTTTATCAGCTCAAGTTTCAACCCTCAGATAATCAGGAAAATCTCTCTGTGAATCTCATCCTCAAAATACAAGACATTCATAAATAATATAAAAGCATAACGAAGTCCTGTAAGACAAATGTAAAAAGCTGTTACCTAACTTGCACAGCTAGAACAAACAGTTATTACACAGATAATTACAGTTTTCTTCTATTAACAAAGGTGATTTCAAAGAAGAGTCTATTTCACTTACATTCTCAAAAGAACTATCCAGCTATTTTTTTTCACTCTCCCTAAAGACAAAGTCATTCGTTTTCTACATCTTACCTCATTTAAGTCTCTGATTTCATTTTCTGCCAAAGAAAAAACAGTCAGATTCTGAGGTAGGCAAACAGGGGCAGTACGAAGTGAAGTTATAATATTTCCATGCAGCAACAAGGTCTGTAAAATAGAAATATGGTGACAAAATGCATGTTTGAACAACAAAAAAATAGCTTTTCTTCCCCATTGTTCCATTCAAACAATAAGTTCAGAATACAAACAGAAAAAATGAACAATAATTAAGGCTTTCTGGCATAATCAAAATAATATTTGCATATACCAGGGAGGGAAAACAAATTTTACACATTAAAGCAAAATGTTATTATTAGGAAATACAGAACTGATACCTAGTCACATTTACAAAAAGTGTATTTGAAACATTATCTCTATACAGTGTATGTGATAAAAGACTTAACACTATGCTTTGTCTTGATTCATAACCTGTTAAGAGATACGAGTGCAATTTTACAGCGTTACCTTAATCAAAATCATTAGTGATTGCATAAGAATCACTGACCCAGTTTGTGCAACCTGAAAGCAACAAAAAACTTCTTACGTTCTTCCTTCTAAAAGTCCAAGGATTAATTAGAATGCTTTAAAATCTAGCATTTGAATAATTAATGCTTTAAAAGCTAACACTTTTCTAAACAAAAACGCTCAATGCAAAGAATGTAAGAAAAGCAGCTAAAAGTGCATCTACCTTCAGAGACATAAGTTTTGAGAGATCTCCTAGCTGAGATATGTTGTTGTCTGACAAATCGAGGTGCTGAAGAGATGCACAGGAATTGACTTGCTCAATGGCCTACAAAAATAAAGGAGTCAATTTCAATATTTTTTTAGTCATTAAATTGAAAGAGGTGTCAATAATTGAAAATTATCTGGGGAGCTAACAACACTGCATAACAAGTCCAACATTAAAATCATGGTTTTTAATCAGTTTAATTTTAAAAACAATTCTTTTCCTGTTTTGTAGCCTATCTCCCTGTTCTCATTACATGCTAGTGTCAAGCCACAATTTATTTTTCCCCAAGACAATTCTTGTCCAAAAGTTGCCCCCTTCCACTTCATTACACTAGTGGACACAAAGGTTCAACATTTGTTTCCATTAAAACCAGAAGCATAAATTCAGATTTCTTTGCAGTGGAACAGAATGAAACATTGTAAGAATCATCTTCAATGTGTTTTCCAAATTTCTACTATGGTAGATTCTGGAAAACGTATAAAACTCTATGTACTTTACCTTAAGATTGTTTCCTGCCAAGTTGAGCCATTCCAGGTGCACCAACTCCTTCAGCCCTTCTACATACCCAATACTATTATGAGGCAAGTTTAGCACACGGAGCTGAGTCAGTTTTGCTACACCCATCATTCGCACCAAACGATTGTTGGCTACAGACAACTGCAGATGGACGCACAAATAAAAGAAACAGTTTCAACCATTAAACTCTACTGATAGGATAGGCTGTCTGTCAAGCTAAAAGTCCAATCCAACAGGAACTACTTCAGTGTATGTGCACAATTTTCAATACTATAACCACAAAAAACTGCAAGAGACAAGAAATAAACTAATCATCAAAGTAGATTTCCACTAACTCTGTAGACTTGTGAAGACTTTCTCATATCAGTAGTTAATTCAAGAAGGGAAACAAACAAGGAATTGAATCATATGAAAATAAGCTTTTAAAATCAGAATTGCTAAATCACTGCACAAATTTTTGTAACATTCCTGGTGTAAAACCATACTTCTTGTCATGTCACAGGATAAAATATATTTCATGGTTCTCAGAGAAGTCCTGTGCTAACAGAACACAAGAAATACCAAAATACCAATTAACACCACAACTGTGAAGCTGGCAGACTGGTGAGGGTTTGTTGTAGCAATTAAAAGAACCCTCTCCAACATCAGTTTAGCTTGTCTCTAGAGGTTGTGTAGGTGATTCCTCCAAGACTATTTGGAGGCACTTTTGTACATGTACATGCTTAATACTGCTACTACTAATACCCTCGTGAACCTAAATGAAATGTTTCAAAATTAAGTATATTAAAGCTAAGCACTAACAACATCAGAGCCTACATAACTCAATATGTTAACAAAAATCATAGAACTGCTCAGGTTGGAAAAGACCTTAAAGATCATCAAGTCCAACCATACTACCCTAACTCTAACTAGCTTCTGCTAAATCATGTCCCTGAGCACCACAGCCAAACGGTTTTTAAACACATCCAGGGATGGTGATTCAACCACCTCCATGGGGAGCCTGTTCCAGTGCTTAACAACCCTTTCGGTAAAGAAGTTTTTCCTGATATCCAACCTAAACCTCCCCTGGCAAAGACAACAGATCTCTCCCAATTCACATTTGTAATTGTGAACTGCTGAGTTGTTTTCTTCTCCTTTTCTTTCTTTCTTTTTTTTTTTTAAAGCTAATCCATATTTATTCATTTATTCCTGTAAATTAAGGCTACTAACACTTCTCTGTGAAGAGCTTTGAAACCCAACCAGGGAGAGTCCTGTAAGTATGTCTTACACATTTATCTTTACTCCATGTAAACAACACAGCTACTTTTAAGGTTACAGAGATCAAGTACTCAAAAACTCAAAAGTATTGAAATCAGTTCAGTAACTTTTCTAAGTATTCCTAGGTACATTACATTAATCTAATTTTACTTACCTAAGAAACTAGCAAAACAGTTTCCTCCACCACCAACTGCAGAGCTATGCTGAAAATAGAGCTTTCTACTTTAGTTCACCATTGTTTAATTTTCTACGAAGACAGTAATTGCTGACTGACTTCAATTGTATAATGGGGCCTTATAGCAGAAATATTTCAATTAGCACCACAGTACCATTACATCACAGCAAATACAATTCAAGTAACACTGACCTGCATCAGATTCCTGCATTTTTCCAAATGTTCCAATTTAATTATCTGGTTTTTGTCCAGAATCAGAGTGTGAGTATCGGGATCACAGGGTAATGTTGGACCCAGCTTTTGCAATCCTTGACCTGACCAGTTAACTACCAAACCTTAGAATAAGAAAAAAATACAACAGAAAGTAATCAAACTCAATACTTGACATATGAAAATGCGTACTGAAAATGGAGAGTAAGACAAACCAATCTGCTTTTTTAATGCATACAGCTAATTTAGTGATAAAAATGAACTTTCTTTTCCACTTAATCCAGACTAAATACATTAGAAAAAAAAACCATCCAGTTATTGGAAGATGGGATGGCAGCTCCTGTTCACATAAAGAATTCTGGCTGTATTTTGTCAGTAACAGTAATGGAGAGATCCCCTCAAGAGTGAGGCTGAGCTGAGTGAAATTCAGGCAGCTAAATTTTAAAGTGTAATCCTCAAAACCCCAAATTTAAGAAAATCTCTATTTTTTAACTTCCTCAACAGTTTAAAATTTTAAGCACTCTGACAATTAGAGTGGCTCCTACATATAAGAGCTCTCTATCTAAATTCCTGCTGGCAGGCATACCCAGAACATCCTGAACACACAGCTGTACGGTCACACTCCACACACACAGCAGCAGCCATACTTGTCACTACACAAACAACTGTAAAGGACAAAAAGAGAGAATGATACAGAGGTGAGCAGCATGCAGAATTTAGTCGCTCAGAACACAGGAAAGCTGACCAAGATGCAAACCTACAAACTTTACCTCCCTGGAGCATTCCATCAAACACTCTGATACAGCATCTGAAGATTAGGGCACCTAACTCCTATTTGTTAAATATTCATTTGACAGTTCTCAGCTGAAGGAAAAGAAACAGCCTTGTGAACAAGTTCTACAAAAGCTAGGCCACTGAATAAACATCTGTAGTTTTCTTTTTTCCTTTTTCTGCTTCAAAGAAAAAACATTATTAGTCTATACAAATTTTTTAAAGCACAGTCTGGTACAAACTCAAAGAGGAAATTTCCAACTGTGGAACCAAAACTGACACCTCTCTGTTAGGAGAAGTCAGGCTCTTAAACCTGACTGAAGAAACAAACATTAAGATTCACCCTACGCCCTTGAAATTGATTTAAATATTTAATATTTAGAGACACACTTCCTTTTAGCAGTTTGGCTGCTATGAAGCCTAATCTTAGTATTAAACTTACTGGGTAGGGAAAATACTTAATTTGGGGCCAAAGGTTGCAGTCTAGGACTTCAGTGGTCAAACGGGTCAGCGCATCTTGCCTAAGGATTGCAGCAGTTGTACATATGTTGATAGGCTAAATGTTGTGTGCTTCAGTAAGGCAGCCGGTGAAAAGTCACACAGATAACCTGTTCATATAGCATTGCTACAGCTTAGGTAAGATTTGAGCATGAACAAACTGTAAATAGAATAGAATAGTATTAATTAGTGGAACACCTAATTAAAACGTTCCATGAAAAGCCAATATAGAGTTAAGATGAAACCATTTGATGTCTACAGGAAACCTGAACGGCTGAGAACCTGTGGTGTGTGACAGCCACTAATCACTGCTTCCACATATTTACTCCCTGCTCTGCATTTTGCACGTGTGCACCATCACAGCACTTGTTTGTCTCCTGGTCTGTAGCTCACACTCCATCAACAGCACGTTCCACACAGAGCCCCTACCCCAGTGCAGTCCCAGTACCTGAAGAGCCTTCCTGCTCTAAGGTTTAGCTGCGTGAAACATGGGGATGAGCACCGCCGCCACACCATTCTGCCAACCAGACACCTGCCTCCCTAAGAAGCACCCCTGATGGCATGTACTGCCGCTGCCTCTCAAACCCGCGGCCACCTGACCGCTCAGCAGAGCCGCAATGCTGAGCGCACAGTGCCAGAAACCTGCCGTACTACATCTCCCAGCACGCACCGCGCGCCCCAGCCCCTCGGCGCCGCACAACGGCGACCCAAACAAACGTCGGCCGCCCGCCGCGGCGGTCCCCTCACCCCCTGCAGCCGGCGAGGCGGCCTCGGTCCGCGCCGCCGCTCCTGTGCCCGCCGTTCCGGTGGCCGCCATGCTTCCCTCTCGCCGATGCCGCCAGGCAACCGGACGCCGAGCGCCGATTGGCTGCCTCGCTCCTCGACGAGAAAATTCCCGTCGCTACGACGATAAATTGATCTCTCCGTAGACTGACTGCTCCCGCTCGCAGGACCGCGCAGCAAGACCTAAGGAGACCCGGAGGCAACCGGCAGAAGCTCCCGCAACGACCCCCGCTCTGCAACCCGCGCCCTCCCGCCGGGCCCTCCGCAGGCGGGGCGCTCCCGGCATGCCCCGCGCCGCCGTCGCCACGCCCACTTCCGGCCGGCCCCCGTCCTTTTCGGCCCGCCCGCCGCCATCATGAAGTGAGTAGGATCGCGGCCTTGGCCGTTCCATCCGCCGCCATCCCCGGCGGGGAGGCCGCGGGATGACTGCAAAACCCTCTGCCGCCGGCCCGCGCTTTGTGCTAACTTTTGTCTCCTTCGCAGGGTCGAGCTGTGCAGTTTCAGCGGGTATAAGATCTACCCGGGCCACGGCCGCCGCTACGCCCGCACGGATGGCAAGGTGAGGCTGCGGCGCGGCTGGCGGAGCGTCGGGGGAGCGAGGCCTCGCCCTGCCGAGTAGGGAACCGGGTGCTGAGCGGGGCCTACGGGCAGTGCCGGCTGCGAGCTGCCGGCAGCTGCGCGGTGCTGATGACGTCAGTGCGCGGCAGGCCCGGCTCATGGGAACCGTGCGAGACGGCGAGCCTGAGTTAGTGTGCGGCTGTGATGTGGGAGGGGTGGCCTAGTGTGTCTGGTGTAGGAAATGTTAGTTAAAGGGTCTGCTTTTAACGCTGAGCTCTGCTGAGCCAATGGGATGTGTGTCTAGTGTGCTAGGTACAGATCATTGGGATCTCGTTTCCTTATTTCTTGTGGATAAGGGTGGAGATATGATGTTTATGTCTGTGAACAGATGCTGTAGTTCTTGTCGCTGGCGCAGGCTGCCCAGGATTCACCTGTGGTGCCCTGTCCCTATAGGCACTCAAGGCCAGGCTGGATGGAGCCCTGGGCAGCCTGAGCTGGTGGGTGACAGCCCTGCCCACAGCAGGAGGCTGGAACTGGCTTTGAGATTTCTTTCAACTCAACCATTCCGTGAGCCTTTATAGTTCCAGTGCTGTGGTCTTGCTGTGCAGCATGTCTTAGAAATGACAGCTAAAGAATTGAAATGAGTGACTCTTAATCTCCTTAAAAACTGAAAAACTTAAACTTGACTAACTAGTAGGAAATCAGGCCCTTAATTCTGCCTTCAGTTTCCTCTAGGCAAGAAGGAGTTGAGCAGTGCTGGTCTCCCAAGTGTTGCTTACGTCCATTTGTGACCCTCACATACAAAATGTACATAGTTAATTGAGAACAAACACTTGTGCACTTCTGGGTATAGCTATGTATGCTGTACCTTGAGTACAGTACAGCAGTGTGGTGGGGATTAAAAAAAAAAAACAAAAAAACAACAACAAAAAAACATTGTGAGCTTAACTCAGAAAAATAGCATCAGAGCATGCTGGAGTAAGCTCAAAGAAGGGCAACAAAACTTGTGAAGGGCTTGGAGAATGTGCCCTCTGAGGAGTGACTGAAGGAACTGGGGCTGTTTAGTCAGGGGAAGAGGTGGCTGAAAGGAGACCTTATTGCTCTCTTCCAATACCTGAAAGATGCTTACTGTGAGAGCGGGGTCAGTCTCTTCTCGCTGGTGACAGGTGACAGGATAAGGGGAAATGGCCTCAAGTTGTGCCAGGGTAAGTTTAGGTTGGATATCAGGAAAAACTTCGTTACAGAAAGGGCTGTTATGCACTGTAATAGGCTCCCCAGAGAAGTGGTTGAATCACCATCCCTGGATGTGTTTAAAAACCGTTTGGATGTGGTGCTTAGGGACATGATTTAGCGGTGGGTTGTTAGAGTTAGGGTAGTATGGTTAGGTTGTGTATGGACTCAATGATCTTGAAAGTCTTTTCCAACCTTCAACTCTATGACTCTAACTCTGCGTGGAAAAATATTCTTAAATGGATGCTTTTTAATGGAATGAGATAGTTTAATCAAAGGAACAAAATTCCATACCATAAAATCTGGAGACAGAAGCTGGATTCAGAAACAATTGTCATCTGTGTAAAGAAATACAAAAGCATCAGTGTTGAAAAACACTGAATCAAATAATTACTTGATATGCTGATGTAAAGTGTGATGGTGTATTTCATAGAAATGAGGCTTACACAAATGCTTCCTTTTCTTCCTAGGTTTTCCAGTTCTTGAATGCAAAATGTGAGTCTGCATTCCTTTCCAAGAGAAACCCCCGTCAAATCAATTGGACTGTTCTATATAGGCGTAAGCACAAGAAAGGACAGTCAGTAAGTATATACCAATGAAAGCTGCTCTCAAGTTTTCCACCAAAAAAAAATCGTTAACTGGTCTGTTAGAATGGAGATAAGTGCAGTATGCTGATGGGTAGCAAAAGTATGACCCATATGACCAGAACAAGGTGGTCAGTTTGGTGCGAGCTCAAGTTTGTATGTTGCTTTATATTCAGAATGTAACACTTCAGCAAAAGTGCTATAACTATACATAATTATGAATGAGGGTCCCCTCAGAACCACAGTAGGTGCATCAGATTTTAACATTTGTCTGAATTATACATGTTAAACAATTTCATTTGAAAAAGCTTTACAGACAATGATTAATCTGTGAACTGCTTAATTATTTGGACTGTAAGATAGAATACTGATTATCAGATGATATGGGGGATGATGAGTGAGGGAAGTGCTCATGTAACCTCCTTGAAAGCTTACATATGTAGATGTCCCTGTTCTAGCAGGGAAGTTGGACTAGATTATCTTTAAAGGTCCCTCCCAGCTGAAACAATTCTATGATACTAACTTAGTAGAATGTCACTGTTATGCACTTGTCACTGCACTGAAAAAATACAGCATGTTAGCATAGGTATTTTCAGTCTCTTACTTAACATTGCACAGCAAAAGAGTAGTTAGGCTTACATGGAAACACTGACTCAACATTTGTGAGTTCATTTAGAGAAACAAAGTCAATGGCTTACTGGTCTGCTTTGGCAAATCAGTGAATTGTTTATGTCCAAAATGAGGAACAAAATTCTTCTGTACACAACTTGGTAATACCTTCAATCTTAATAGCAGCTTGTTTCTGTAATTGCCTTTAGCCTTTTATTTAATACCTTATGTTGCTAATTATCTTTGTATCCTGTCATTTTAGGAAGAGATACAAAAGAAGCGCACACGCCGTGCAGTTAAGTTTCAAAGGGCTATTACTGGTGCATCCTTAGCTGAGATTATGGCTAAGCGAAACCAGAAGCCTGAAGTCCGAAAAGCACAGAGGGAACAAGCTATCAGGTGAGAAATCAGGTGTCTGGGGCTATCCTTGGGTATTTAAAATACCACCAATACACTTTCCTGCAAGATGTTGAGCTCTAGCTGAGTTCTGTGTATTACCTCCATTTTAGAGGGGATCAGTATATTTGGAGGCAACACTGAGTAATCTCAGCAAGTTACTATCAGCAGAGAGGGGTTTCTTCTTGCTCTCTTCGTTTGTGAAAATACTGCTTTTGTCACACAGTTCTGTTGTCTTTCTAGTAGTCTTGCTAGAGGCATTGAATGCAGGAGATAAACCTGAGATAATGCATTTGTTTCCTGATCTTAGGGAGCTCTTACAGTGGTTGAGACAAAGAAACAGTGAATGGCAGACATGAATAATTAGCTTTTTTTCTGTGAATTAACAGGGCTGCAAAAGAAGCCAAGAAGGCTAAGCAGGCCACCAAGAAAACGGCTGTTTCTGCTGCAAAGGTAAGATGCAGTGGGTAGGATTGGAATATGCCGTGTTGTAACTATACTGCAGCACTTCACTGGGAACTTATTTTAATTTGTTTGTCTATTTTGATCTGGAAGCATACTGACCAAGGTAATGCACTAGAAATACATGTGAACTGCTGAACAGAACAAACCACTTATTAGAGGGAGAGTAAATATTACAGTAAAACCACTTTCTGACCAGATGCCAATGATGTGTAGATGTCAACTTGCCTAGATGTGACATTAGAGACTTGGTAGCAGTGTGGCGGTGAGCGTTAGCATGCTCTTCAGTACTGCTTCTGACGTAATGCTGAAGGTTGGCATCATCCATGCTTTAGTTTTATAGTGGTACACATAGTAACAATCTGTTAACTCTGATCTGATTTTTAGATTGCCTCATTTATCTAAAGAATTGTAAGTGTAGCATAGGGACTCTTTCAGTAATGTGGATACTTTGTTTCTTTTTGCTCATATGTTGTTGTTTCTCTGCAGGCTCCAACAAAGGCAGCACCTAAGCAGAAAATTGTGAAACCAGTCAAGGTTTCTGCTCCCCGTGTTGGTGGAAAGCGCTAGCTTGCCAGTCTGTTAGCCATACTGAATAAACATCTAACTTGCTTTCACAACTTGTACCACGTTCTTTTCAACTGTGTGACAGATGCTGAGGAGAATTAAAGACCAATGAACACACTCGTGCCATAAAATGCTCAGTTCCTTTAAGGATCTGCTATGCTAGAAGACATTTCATAGGTCTTAAAATGAATACAGTAGTCTAGGCACCAGGAAGGATTGAGCTGATATGTACACAAGCAGAATAAACTACATGAATGTCAGATGGCATAGAGATGTAGAATACAAACTGAAGGGATGTGAAACAGTGCAGTCTGTGACATAAAGTACACTTCTTGCATTATGAAACAGATGTTTGCAAGGTGTTCTACAGGATAAAAGGAAAAGTGGTTTCAGAAGTGAACATTTCATGAACAACATGGCTGTTAAACAGGTTGAGATTCAACTCCTCAGTCAGAAAGTAACGAAACCACTAAATTCTGGAAGCCTTTGCCAGGCAAAGCTTATTAAGGTCTTGCCTTGCACTCTTTCCTTGAACTTTTAGTAAGCTAAATGTCACTATTTGACTTAATATGTCCATTCTGCAAGTGTGATCTAGTTAGCAGTGCTTAAAACCACATAATAGGTTGAATAAGCTTAAAATTGCTATCAGAAAAATGGTGGAAATGAATCGTATAGCTAGGACACTACAGTTGAGGGCTACAAGCTTTTTAGGAGGGATAGGCAAGGTGGTGGAGTTGCCCTCTTATGTTAAG